GCCCTCTGCCGGCGCCGCTGGGATCCATCCTGGGAGCACTGGGCTGTACTGGGAGCACTGGGCCACAGCGGGTGAGGTTCTGGGGGCGCTGGGTCGGGAGGTGTAGGGATGGGGGGCAGTGGGAGGCGGTTTGGGGGCATTGGGGGACAACAGGTCAAGCTCTGAGGGTGCTGGGGCAAGAGATTAGTGAGGGAGTGCACTGGGGCGCAGTGCAGGGAGCTCTGGGGGGTGGTTTTGAGGCATTAGGGAGCAGTGGGTGAAGCTCTGGGGGCGCTGGAGCAGGAGGTGTAGCAATGGGGGTTGCTGGGCTAAGCACTACTGGGGCGCTGGGAGACACTGCTGGGAGCACTGGGGGCGATTTTGGGTCACTGGGAGGCACTAGATGAAGCTCTGGGGGCGCTGGGGCAGGAGGTGGAGCCATGGGGCCACTGGAGGGAAAAGTACGGGGGCCCTGCGAGCACTGGGGGCCAGTACTGGGAGCACTGGGGAACAAGAGGTGAAGCTCTGGGGGGACTGGGGCCTGCAGGAGATGTAGTCATGGGGGGCTCTGGGGTGCAGTACTGGGAGCACTGGGGGGCAATTTTGAGGCACTGGGAGGCAATAGGTGGAGCTTTAGGGGTACGGGGGCACTGGGTGTGGTACTGGGAGCACTGGGGAGCAGGAGGTGAAGCTCTGGGGGCACTGGGGCAGGAGGTGTAGTGATGGGGGGCTCTGGGAAGGGGTGGAGCAAATCACACCAGGAGCAGTCCAGGGGAAGGCTGGAACAGCTCTAATCCAGTCAAATCCTGCTCAGTTTCCCTGGGAGAAAACTCCAGCCCTCAGAGCTGTTTGGGACAGCGTATCCTTACTTAAGTGTCTTCTAACCTCCCTCTGGAGGAGTCATGGGACTATGCTGTCTGTGCTTGGTGAGCTGCTTCTGTTTAAATCCTAGACTGGCACATCCTTAATTAACATTTAAGCTTAAGGTTTTCTGTAACTTCAGGGCTTCTGAAGGTTTTCTGTACCTTCTGTAACTACAGTGGCAGCTCATCTCTATACAAACTGACTTCTAATTTCTTGTTTTGCTGTTGTTGGGTTTTTTTTAATGCAGAAGGAACAGAAATGTGGGAAACATGGATGTGGTAACTGCTGCTCTGCAGGATAAATATCCTGAGTGGATGCTTACACAAAGCCAGGAGGAAGCTTTGTGGGATAAAAAGGTAGGTCATGGCTTGGGGAAACTTTGCAGACTGCATGATAAACCAACTTTGGAGCATGTGCTTTTAGTTAGATCTGTTCCTCTGGTTTTTGTTGATGTATTCAGCTGTAATTTGTAGTTAAATTTAGGTTCTCTTGTGTTATTTCTAGTTAAATCAGCTTGTTAATCTCTTTTTTTCCAGATTAAAATAGTGTGTGTTGCTAGAACATCACCTGTAGAAATTGCTTCCTGTCAGTCCCAAAAAGTAAGGGAGTTTGGATGCCTTGCTCACCCAGGAATGTGGGCTGCACATCAGCAAGGACTGGGGGTTTCTCATTCCAAATGGAATGACCTCGAGTTGTAGCTTGGCAGTGGAGTTGGTTCTGGGAAGGCCTTTTCTGCATTTGCACATGTTCAGTATTCCAGGAGGTTTTGCAGGCTGTGTCAGAAAAAATAACTGTTCACCAATTTGTTGATGTCCCAAGGATGTTAATGTGTCCTTGGATTCTCTTCTGCAGATAGGAGCAGTTCAACAGAAGGGACCCTCCCTGTAACACCTGAAGCAGCTTTAACAATTAGAAAATTAATTAATGACAGAAAAAGCCAAGGACTCAGTTCAGTAGTTCTTTTTCTATGAAGTGGGAGTAACTAATTAGTAGCTTAGATATTAAAATGTATCAGGTGAAACCACCGTGGCTTGCACTTGTTATCTGAGTGCTCAGAGTTCAGCAGAGGGAACTGGGGCAGGAACCCAAATGTTTTGGTAAATGGGGTGGGAGGGACGTCCCTGGTGGGGACAGGTGTGGCCTGTAATTCCCTAATCTTGTTTGACAGAAGCCTGGTGTGCAGAGGAGTGTTTTGGAGGATGGGCTGCCATTCCTGGAGTTCTGTGGCTCTGTTGTTTACAGCTACGAAGCCAGTGACTGTTCCCTTCTCTCAGAAGATATCAGGTAACAGCTCTTACTCAGTTTCTGGGGGTTTTTTTTGTTTTTGTTTTGTTTTGGGTTTGTTTGTTGGTTTTTTTTTTTAAGTCCTATTTTTGTTTCCTTTTTGGATTTGGCTCTTGGGAATAGTTTCCCATTTGGTTTCTTTTTTTTTATGGGAGATGCCATGGCTTAACCTTCCAGTCCCTCTAAAGCAGAAGCAGTGAAGGCTCTAATGCAGGTCCTTTGCCTTCCACAGTATGGATAATTCCATGAGCTTCAGTGACTTCATGGAGAAGTATGAGCTGTGAGAAATCAAGCACGTGTTAATTCCTAACTGGGGACTTTGTTTGAAGAAAAGATGGTGAATTTGTGATGCAAATACATTATTGTCCCCCTTCTAGTGTAGCACAGCTCATATTGCTGGGGAAAAACTTCTGTACAGAACTTCCAGTCCTGTGAGATGAGTGAAGAACAGGCTTTCAAATGAACATGAGATAAATAAAGAACAGTATACAGTATTTCAAGGGAATATAAACTATTCCATCATCTTTTGCATCTGGCTGTCCTTGAGGCTTGTGTGGCAAGGTTTTGGCAGTGGGGGGGCTGAAGGCCCTGTGCTGCTGAGAGGGAAGAGGTAGAGAACTTGGGAGTTGAGCCAGGGAAGGAGGGAGGGGTGGAGGGAAGGTGTTTTTAAGGTTGAGTTTTATTTCTCATTATCCACCTCTTATTTGATTGATAATAAATTGGTTAATTTTGATGTGTCTGGTTTGCCCGTGATGGTAACTGGGCTCTCCCTGTCCTTCTGTCAACCCACAACCTTAAGTTATTTATAAATAATACACTGTTTGCCATCAGATAAGTTCAGTTCCGAAGTATTTCTTGTAGCCTTGTGGACCAGCAGGAATTTCTCCTCCTTATGGTCTTGGTTTTAAATTGGTTTGTGTCCTGCTGGTGTGAAATGAATGGGCTGCGATTCTCTTCATCTTTATAGATGACTTAAGGTTGGTATTTTAAATCCTGGTAGAAGAACTCATAAATGGGAAGGATCTCTGTTTTTTTTTCTAGGCAGAGTTTATCAGATGGGGCTGCTGTTGGATTTGATATTGAATGGCCACCATCCTACACGAAAGGGAAAATGGCCAAAATCGCTGTAATCCAGATCTGTGTTGCTGAGGACAAGTGTTACTTGTTTCACATCTCTTCCATGGCA